AGCTTGCTTTCTCTTTCTGTCTCTCTCTGGTGAGTGCATGTGCCCTATAGCAAATTAAAAAAAATAATAAATTAAATTAAATACACAATTCAAAAAACAAACAACTCAGCTGTGATAACACAGCAGGCCAGACATCTTCCACACTCAGTTCTTTTTTACTCAGCAGTGCTTTGCTGAGTTTGCATACTACTTGCTAGGGTGCTGCTAGGTTCTGTGAACACACAGAATATGACATGGACTCTGCTTTCATGGAATTTGTGGTCCTTTCTAGCAGTCACTGCTGTGCCTTATACTTTCACTTATAGTCAGCCTCTTCCTATTCTATGCCCTTCCAAACTAGAACTCATTTAGAACTTTGGTATTTTTTAAAATTTAATTAATTAATTAATTTACTTTAATTTGATCAGAGATAGACACAGAAAGAGAGAGAGGGAAAGTGAGAAGGCAAACCGCCAGGTCCAGGACTTGAACCATAGTTGGTCATGTGGGAGTGTCCAGCGCCTTAATCATCATGCCACCTGCTAGTCCCCTGAACTTTGGTATTGTTAATGAGACTTCCTTCTTCACAACCCAAATCCCTATGGTTACTGTTACTGATGTCTTCTACCAACTAAAGATGATCACACTCATAGTCATTGGTTTATGATTTTTATTCTAAAATTATATTATTTATAAATATTACCTGTAAGTTGAAAAATACTTCAAATATATAAATGTGTATGCACTAAAAAAATATAAATCACCCTTTACTCTCCTCTGTGCAATGCCACTTATTTTTATTTTTTTAAAGAATCATTTTACTAACTTTATTTATTTATTTTAATTTGACCAGAGAAGGACAGAATGAGAGAGAGAGAAAGAAAGAGAAAATGAGAATGCAAGCTGCCCGGCCTGGGACTCAAACCATGATAGGCCATGTGGGAGTCCAGAGCCCTTAACCACCACGCCACCTTCCGGCCCCTATTTTTAATTATTTTTAAAGAATTTATTTATTCAGCGCCCTTAATCACCATGCCACCTACTGGTCCCAACAATGCCACTTATTATTAATGCTTCTATAAATTTTCTACCTCCCTCCATAGAACTTTTTGCCTTAGGGTGTGTGCACTTGCTGAAGAGAGAGACAGACAGAGACGGTGAGAGGAAAAGTAAAAAATCACCTCCCCAGGGAGGTGACCATACCACAATCCCTTCTCCTCCATTCTCCTCCCAGGATCTTAGGCACACAAACACACACACCTGGTGTGAGTTTCAAGCCAGCAGGTCTGGGACTTGAACTGCAGTCAGCATGTTGGAGTCTAGCGATGTAACCATTATGCCATCTACCGGTCCCTATTTTCTATTAATATTGCAAAGTTTTTACACAAATGAAATTTTGCTATGTTTATTTTATGTATAGCTCCATGTTCTCATTTAACACTGTATTTTGGCTATCTTTCCATATCAGTGCATTAATATCTACTTTATTCTTTGTAATGGCTATATAGCATTTCAGTCTATGACTATACCCCAAATATTTGAACAGGCTTTTATTTATGGATATTTAGATTCATTTATAGGTTGAAGTGGGATCCTTTGTCTTAGTCCATTTGGCTTACTGTACACAATACTTAGACTGGGCAAGTGTAGACATAGCATTTCCTATTCACAGTTCTGAAGGCTGGGAAGTCCAAGATTAAGGTATTGGCAGAAATGGCACCTGATGGACTCTACTTCATAGATGACACCTCATTGCTGTATCCTCATATGGCAGATGGGGCAAATAAGCTCCCTTGGGCCTGTTTTATATGGGCACTAATTCCATTCATGGAGTGGAGCCTTATGACCTAATCATGTCCCAAGGGCCCCATCTTTTAATACTATCAAATTTGGGGTTTAGTTTAAATATATAAATTTTGAGGGGCTATAAATATTCATTCTATAGCATCTTTTTACAGGTGTTTTTGCTCACCTGAATTGAGTGTATCTGGAAGATACATTTCTAGAAATAAACTTTTGCTAGGGAGACCAGCAGATGGCATAATGGTTACGTTGCTGAACTCCCATGTAATCAGCTGCGGTTTGAGTCCTAGATCCAGCAGCTTAAAACTCATGCCGGGCATGTGTGTGTGCGTGCCCAAAATCCTGAGAAGAGAATGGAGGAGAAGGGATTGCAATGTGGCCATGCCCCCTGGGGAGTGATTTCTCGATTTCTATCTCTCAAGCAAGACATTCTCTAGAAAAAATATTACCACTCCCTCCCACGCCCCCCAAAAAAATCTTTTGATAGTTTTGATCAATTACCCTTTGAAAAAGTGTTGCGAGGAACTCAGCAGTGTATGTAGGTTCTTGTTTTCTCACCTTTTAGGCAACACTGAACATTAGCAATCTTTTTTTTTAATTATTATTTATTTTATTTATTTATTCATTTATTATTAT